ATCCTAGTTATCCAGGAACTGTCTTATGAGGTGAGGTTGAGTAGGTGGGGCCTGTATTCAACGGAATTTTGAAGAACGAGAGTCAACCTCATTGAATTATACAAGATTGAGGAGGGCTTGACAAGGAAAATGTAGGGAGGTTTAACCCCTTCAGGGAGAGTCTTCACCACAGGACATAATCTCAAAATAAGGGGTTGCAAATTTAAGACAAAATGAGGAGGAATTTCTTCTCTCAGAAGGTAGTGAATTTGTGGAAGGTGTGGAATTTGTAACCAGAAGGTTGTTGAGACTGGGTTGTTAAATGTATTCAAGGCAGAGATAGACCAACTTTTAATAAGAACCGAAAGAACTGCAGATGCTGTAAATCAGGAACAAAAACAAAAGTTGCTGGAAAAGCTCAGCAGGTCTGGCAACATCTGTTAAAAAAAAAATCAGAGTTAACGTTTCAGATCTGGTGATCTTTCTTCAGAACTGATGGTAGCTTGGAAAACATCGGTTTATTTGCAGAATATAGAGAAAGGGGCGTGGGGTAGGGAGTAAATGATATGATAGAGCCCGAAGAAATAGAAAAGCAGTAGGATAAACAAAGGAGTTGATAATGATCTGGCTGGGAGAGTGAATAGTTAATGGGGACTGTTAGTGATTAACAATAGGTAGTGTGTAATGACAGGCTATGTGGTAACAAGGCCTGGTGTGCGGGATAGAGGGCTAAGACATGGCAGAGGTTAAGCCCTAAAATTATTGAACTCGACATGGAGTCTGGAGGGCTGCAGGGTCCCCAAGTGGAAAATGAGATGTTGCTGTTCCAGCTTGCGTTGAGCTTCACTGGAACGCTGCAGCAAGCCAGAGACAGTGATGCTGGCCAGGGAACAGGGTGGCATGTTAAAGTGGAAGGCAACAGGTAGCTCAGGGTCTGTTTTGCGAGCAAGATGTAGATGTTATGCGAAGCCGTCACCCAGTCTATGCTTTGTTTCCCTAATGTAGAGGAGACCACATTGTGTGCAGCAAATGCAGTAGACTAGATTCTGGCAAGTGCAGGTGAACTGTTGTTTCACCTGGAAAGTATGTTTGGGTCCTTGGATAGTGGGGAGGGAGGAGGGAAATGAGCAGGTGTTGTACCTTCACTGGTTGCAGGGGAAGGTGCTGTGGGGGGATTGTTGGGGGTGAAGGAAGAGTGGACTAGGGTGTCCTGGAGGGAATGGTCCAGTGTTGAAGGGGGACAAGGGAGGGGACGGGCATATGCACCTGGTGGTGGCAGAAATGGCATCTGATGATCTTGTGGATGTGGATGCTGATGGGATGGTAAGTAAGGACAAGGGGAACCCTATAGCTGTTGCGGGAGGGAAGAGAAAGGTGAGGGCAGAAGCGCAGGAGATGGGTCGGACCTGGTTGAGGGCCCTGTTGACAACGGTGCTGGGGAATCCTCGGTTGAGGAAGAAGGTAGCCATGTCGGGAGCTTCCTTGCAAAGTAGGCCTCATCTGCACATATGCGACGAAGACAGAAGAACTGAGAGAATGGGATGGAGTCTTTACAGGAAGCAGGGCGAGAGGATGCATAGACCAGATATCGGTGGGAGTCAATGGGTTTATAGTGGATTGTTCTTCTAGCTTGTGTTGAGCTTCACTGGAACTTTTTTCTTCCAGCTTGCGTTCAGCCCATCCACTATAAACCTACTGACTCCCATAATTACCTGGACTATGCATCCTGACACCCTGCTTCCTGTAAAGAATCCATCCCATTCTCTCACTTCCTCCGTGGCTGTCACATATGTTCAGATGAGGCCAACATCGACAAGGGAGCCTCCGACACATCCACGTTCTTCCACAACTGAGGATTCCCCAGCACCATTGTCAACAGAACCCTGAAATGCGTCTGACCCATCTCCTGCGCTTCTGCCCTCACCCTTCTCATCACAACACATCACATGCACTTCCCAGAATCTAGTCTATTGCATTCGCTGCACACAATGTGGTCTCCTCTACATTCGGGAAATGAAGCGTAGACCGGATGATCGCTTTGCAGAACATCTACATCTTGCTTACAAAAAAGACCCTGAGCTACCTGTTGCCTGCCACTTTTAACACACCACCCTGTTCCCTCACCAACATCTGTGTCTCTGGCTTGCTGCAGTGTTCCAGTGAAGATCAACGCAAGCTGGAAGAACACCTCATTTTCCGCTTGGGGACCCTGTAGCCCTCCAGACTCAATGTCGAGTTCAATAATTTTAGGGCTTAACCTCTGCCATGTCTTAGCCCTCTATCCCGCACACCAGGCCTTGTTACCACATAGGCTGCCATTACTCACTACCTATTGTTAATCACTAACAGTCCCCATTAACAACTATTCACCCTCCCAGCCAGATCGTTATGAACTCCTTTGTCTATTCTACTGCTCGTCTCTCTCTTCGGGCGCTATCCTATCATTTGCTCCCTACCCCACCGCCCTTCCTATTTTCTGCATATAAACTGACATTTTCCCAGCTATCATCAGTTCTGAGGATTACCGGACCTGAAACGTTAACTCTGATTTTTTCTTCAGATGCTGCCAGACCTGCTGAGCTTTTCCAGCGACTTTTTTGTTTTTGTTCCAATTTTTAATAAGCATGGGTATCAATGTTTGTAGGGAGAAGGCAGGGAAAGTGGAATTAAGGATTAACAGATCAGCCATGATCTCATTGAACAGCAGAGTAGACTACATGCTGACTGGCCTAATTATGCTCTGACACATTATGGCTTAATCACCCCAGATTTGTGCCCTGAATCAGTGGAACTACTTTGTTACAAATGCAGGATCTTACAAGTTTTGTTTTAAGATGCCTCCTTTGAGTTAAGGTGAAACAATTTTCTGCTACTGGGAATGGTGGCCAAATTGAACTATTGCTTGCAAAAAGGCATACATGATCTAGGTACCATGAAAAAGAAATCCAACTAAAACTTATTGAAAATCAATTAACAGTGGTCATTACTTGACACAGAAAGGGACGGCTGTTTTTTGGACATAGAGATACCGAAACAGAGAAAGATGCTGTTGTGAAGAGTGGAGGGACTGTGTTTGCACCAGCAGCTAAGTAGAATGCCTTTGAAAGCTGGTTCTCAGTTCAAAAAGACAAAATGAATGGGACTTTGAGATTTGAGTGACAAGGAGTCAACAAGGTGGAACTCACGTGCAGATTCCTTTATTCCGGTAGAGTGGAGGTGATTTTCATCGCAGGGAGAGGTGAGACTGCTAGAAAGTTGGGTGCATGTTGGATTTGGACCTTGTAGTGTCATGTATCTATACAGCAAAGGAAAGTTGTAAGACATATCCTGCTTGCGTTAGTTAATATGGAAATACTCTTTCATTTAATTTTATCCAAGTTGTCTGTCAAGTAGAGTTTGGTTTATGAGATAACAAGGTGTAGAGCTGGATGAACACAGCAGGCCAAGCAGCATCAGAGGAGCAGGAAGGCTGAAGAAGGGTCTAGGCCCGAAACGTCAGCCTTCCTGC